GGATAGGATGGAATGGAAACAACCGGAATGAGACAGCTCTCCACCTCCTGAGCTCGGCTCACGGTATCAGCATAGGACATCGGTCCATGACTTCCCACCAGCTCACGAATCCTCTGGTTGAGACTCTTGAGAAATTTCCGGGCCTTCTTAGCATCAGTGTTCACCGCATCACCCGCAAAAAGGCAGATACGGGTGAAAGTGCGGATGTACTCATCTACCGAGGAACTGCTTTGCTGCAAGTGATAGAATTCGTGCTCCATCCTGTCCCAAAAGCTCTGAGGAAGGAACTTACTGCGCACCATCACTTTCATTTGCTCCCAAGTGAGAGCATGAGGCTCCGCCTCGGGCCTCCGGGCCCAAAGCTCAATCCACCAGTCTGAGGCATCTTCCTTCATCTGATACGCCGCAAGAGACACGCGCTGATGGTCGGGGAGGGGGAGTACAGCAAAGATTTTGTCCAGCTCCTTCATCCACTCAAGCACAGCTGTGGGGTTCTCTGTCCCCGAGAAAGTTAGCGCATTCATGCGCTGAAGCTGAACAATAAGCTGAGTGAGGTCCATGGCCGGAGGGGCCTGATGCTGACGACGAGGAGGAGAAGGAGATGGGGATGGCTGACGGTTACGGTTGCGAGTATTCATACTTCTACATTGAATAAGTCGAGCAAAGTTAGCACAGAAAAACAAACAATAATACATCAGAAGTCTAGAGTTCGCCACAAACACTAGAGTTCGATTAAATCAAGGTGGATAGATCCTAAGCCCCATAGATAACAAGTAACTCACAAGTTCATCACGAGTAGTTTCATTACTACAAGTGTATCAATTATATCACAAGTATTTTCATTAATACTAAAATCAAACATACCTTAAGCAGGGCGGAGTGACGGAGACGAGTGGTCATAACACAAGGTCTAAACACATAATCACATATGTGCCAGTCTACAGAAACGCAGACTGTCTCTGATACCAAACTGTAACACCCCACTTGATTTTAAAGAAATTCCGGACTTTCCAAAAACCAGTATAAAATTTTTGAAACTCATTATCGAAATCATGGGCGTTATACAACATTAAACATCAACCAAGTCATATCTGGTTGTTCACATGGTTTTCATTAACCTTTCAAAACCCATCACCACATGATTATTTGCTAAACAATATAGCATGCACATGATATTCAATAGACAAATCCCTTACGAATATCCAAACATTTGTCCATAAGTTCTCAAAATACGTTTTGAAAATAGTTCAAAGTATCTCAATCAAAAGATATTCTCAGACACCACATGTTATTCATAAACGGAAGCATAATCATAAAAACATAAGTCAAACACCGACCCACTCGTCATCCCCCGTCATCCGGCACCTGCTTAACCTGCATCCGTGAAGAGCAGGTGGGAGTGAGCACAAGATGAAAATAATGCTCACTACTATGCACATAAACAATATATGACAATGGTATGGTCACAGCATGAATATAAGATAATCACATATTGTCTCATCTCCTATCAAATCACAACAACCACATTACTCCTGTGCACATCTATCGCTAGCCGCAGAACGGGGATTCATTACCCGAAGGCGGGAGTACATGCCACGCTACGGACACAGCCTTCCATATGGGCTTACGTACCTCACAAGGGCACGGCCATATCAGGACTTAAAAAGACTTGCCTCACAAGGGCAACCATATTACATCGACGGGGACAACCGTACCGACGGCCGTAACAACTCACATCAATAGGCTACATATTTCATATTCATACATAGATCATACCGTAAATAAGACATTCATCATTCATGGCATAGACAATTTTAGATTAGAACCCACCTGGTGCAGGAAAGGAAAACAACACAATCGAGGGTAGGCAGCGAGCACGGCTCGTCAAACACCTACAACAATTATTATACTAAGATCAATACTTTTGACCTTAGAGAAAACATACA